GAAAGTTCAGCTAGACAAGTACAACATGCAGATTCCATATCAAATAATTGATCACAACGTGAAATTGCCTAAATTTTATTAAGTCTTTAAACTCTAGTTTATATTTTATGTGAAGTTCGACATCGATCAGCTTAGTGTGTGACTAGATCCAAGTTGAAGTCGGACATTAATGTGAATTTAACACAATGGATTTCGATAAGCTTGGAATTTTTAACGTTTGAATATCCTTATCTGATCTTTTAAATTCAAATGCGAAGGATTTTGAACCGACGTAAATCCCTCGTGGTAGCTTTACATCATGTTAACTTCAAGTTGATGTCTCAAGCTTGTTTAGCTATTTGATGGATCTCTCAGATTTCAAAATCTATTTTCTACTGATTGTAATAGATCTCAACGTTTTGATAAATATTAAAGAAGATAAAAAGTCATTCAATGTGATACTATTCATTTAAATATAAAGTATACATGTTATAGAATCTTACATTAATCGAAAATGTCCAACAGTTATATTCTGATCAAGCAAAGGTTACAGCTGTTTGAAAATCGATCTCTTCAAATATTAAGAATAAAATTCGATATTCATCTATACAATTCAAATCCGTGAAAAACAAAGATTCAATTTCTATGATTCAGTCGGCTGGAGATGTCCAGAGTAAGATTTGCTTTTGTACTGTATATCCTAAGAAAAATGTTCTTACTCTAATCTCACCTTACACAACTCTACAATCGATCTCTAATCTGATCTGAATATTCTGATGTTCATTATTTTCTATGTTACTTTATTTACTTCTGTATCATCTCGTGTATGTTTCTTGGAATTTTGTCCAGTTTGTCGTTGATTAGTATTTATTGATGGTAATGAAAAATCAAAAAAACGATTTCTAAAATGTAATTATATATTCAAAAAAGATTTTTTTTTTAAATAAAAATCAAATTTATTCACCCATTATCAAGAATTGATAATAACAATGGAATTGCTCCAGTTAAACGAATCTGTCTTCGATTATCTTCATTTTCAGCACAATGAGTTAAACACCAAATAGCATGATCAAGAACTTTAACATTATTATGACTTAAATGACTTTATTTAAATAAAAAAAAAAATAAAACATTCTATTCATATACTTTAATAGCATCTACTGGTTTTTTACCTAGTAAAAGCATCAAGAAAATCATTTGGTATACATGGAATACATTCTCGTCCTTCAGGATGACCGAGAAAATTTGCCATAAGTTGTAAAGAAAGTCTAAAAATATGAAATTTTATAGAAAAAAATCAAACAAACATAAATTCATTTTTTACATACTGTTTTATTTCAAGATCTTTATATAAAAGTATTTGTAATAAACTATCAATTGTTTCTAATTTAATTATTTCTTTAACATATAATTCTCTTTATATAATAATTTTAAAAAATAAATAGAAAATTTATATGAATAAAATTCTTACGTTTGATCAATCATATTCATTAATAATCTTAATATATTTTGTAAAACTATTAAATCTTGAGTATTATTTAAAAGACGTGTTATTGGTTCAATTATTTCACTTGATATAATATATTCTCGTTCAATATGATTTGGTGTATGCATTATTAATTTAAGAAGAATATCTTTTCATCAAAACAAAAACAAAAAGAACGAATAGAATACATTTTTTCTTTTCATTCTATCTTATTTTATTGACTTACTAAGCATATGTACAAGTACTTTACATGCTGTATATGTTGATTCATTATTATTATTATCGCTACATTGATCTGTTGAATGAATATTAAGATATAAATCCATTTGCTAAAATATAAATTCTATTAAATAAGATTTTAAAATACTTCAGAAGAAACATTACAGTTTTTAAACCGATCATTCCATTTTCTTGAACAAAAACAAGTTGATATTCAGGATCACGTAATAATACTCGCAAACAATAAAATATTGATAGTGAACATAGTTTATTTGTACTAAAGAAAAATAAAATTAATATATAGGTTTTTTTTTGTGAAACATGATTTGAAATGAGTGTTGAAGTAAAAAGGTAGACACTTGTTCCTCCAATCCCTTCCATAGACTTGATAGATAACTCTGCCATTCTAGCTCATATTGGACTTACAGGCAAGTCTCAGTGAGACTAGCAAAAGATTAAAAGGGTTCGTCGCCGAGTTATGATTCAAAATAATGATTCTTAGAACATCCTGAAAATTTCAGTCGAAAAGAATGTTCCTTCGTCAAGATACTGAATTCCCAAAAATAGCCCGTTGTCATAAAAATCGAATTCATTTGAAAATTTACTAACTTGACAAAAGAATATTTTTCTCGACTGAAACTTTCAAGATGTTCTACAAGTCATTATATCTATCTATAGGCAAAATTTTGGATTATAACTCCGTTATTAAGAGAGTAACTAAAAATGGATCAAAAGCCGAGTAAATCAGTCATAACCTGGTCTCAAAGGCCAATGGAACGAATTCTTTGAGACTTTTGCAATTCTCATTGAGACCTGCATGTAGATCCAATATGAACTCAAACGGTGGGTCTTATTTGGAGTAGCTTTCTGCCACTTTTTTACAACTTTGTGCTAACTTTGGACAGAAACCAGATTTTGAAGCACCTTTTTTTGTCTTCCTCTGACAGACAATGTCGTTGTGAGAAGAACCGGGTCGAGTGAGTTTCGTTCTGTCCACTCTTCCCACGGTCATATCTTTTAACACTGTAAAAATGAAAGCACTTTCTGTCGAATTTTTAGCTCCTCTCGCAAGTCTTCGTTGAAATTATTCTGAAAGAAGACTGAATTTAAGATATCTATGTTTGACCCTCTTTCAAAACTCATTGTGACATATAATGAATAAAACCTTTCATCATGAACATATCAGTACGTTGGAAGTGCCAAAGTAAACGGATGTTTTAGAATCCTTTAGTTTAAGATCAATGGTGTTTCAAATTTTAATTCTGCAAGAATAATGCTAACAGCTTTGTTTTTTTAGGTTTTCTGAATACATTCGAAAATTTAAGTAACGAGAGAATCGCTCTAGTTATTCGAAAGAAAGTCTTTAGGAAAATTGTAAATGTCTACGCATAACATTTGGACACGAACAAAGGGTTATAATGACCCTGGTCGATTGATAAAGTTATTCCTATTTTGACATGCACCAGTCCCAATCGAACAGATACTATTGAAATTGATGTCTGATAGAACTGATAATCAGTCAGACTGATATGAAGTGGTGGTGATGCAGAATCTGTTTGATACCGGACTAGGACAAGTCTCTTCATACTCTCACTTTAACTATATTGCATAAAGTCATTTAACAACTCCAGACGACAAGCAATTGGATCGTACTTCCTGGTAAATTTAGTTGTCGTAAACGGTCACATTTCTGTGCCAAGTATCATCGAAGAATACGATCCGTTTACCTATCATAAATTAACTATGAATGGCGGTATCGTATGATATAGAATAGTAAAAGAAAACGGAAGAAAAATCTTCGACTCCATAAGGAAAGAATGGAAGTTTTCTTTGATTTAGGCGATGTCACATCCTCGTTTGGCCTTATAGAACTTCTATGAAAAGTTTAGAATTATTGAATATATGTTGTATTTACAATTAAATGTCAATCACTTCAAAAGGAATTTCTATTAGACAAAACCGATTATATGCTTTTCTAAGTCTTCATTACAATCGTAATCATTTGAATAGTAATATTTCAAGGATTATCTTTTAAACAATTTCTATTAAATATTTACCAAGTCGATGATAGAAAATCATAATTTAACTAAGACTTTTTTCCTATTGTCTACGGAAAAGCATTAAAAAAAATCCTCTCTCTCTCTCTCTATATATATATGTCATATTCAATACCCTTTTGTTGCTTTATATAAAATACTTACGGATTAAGTAATTTTTTCTTTATAATAAAATGTAAAATCTACGGAAAAAGAAAGAACAAAAACACTTTTTGCATGTTACCAAATATGACATACATTAAAGAATTGTTTATGTTCAGAATTAGTTGAAAATTTTGCTTTACTACTAAATTTTGATCTAAATATAAAAAGAAAACAGCAACAAGAATTCAAATTATTTATATAAATAATAAAAATAAATTACTGAAAATCATCTAATGCTTTATCTTCTAATCGTTGATTATCAGTTTTATCACTACGTTCTAAATCATTTAAAATTTTGCTTAAAAGATTTCGATCTGTTGAACTAAAAATATTAAAATATAATCAACAATAGTTTTAAGAGTTCGTTTTTTTTTCTTTTTTTGTTTGTCAGACTTACTCTCGTTTAGTTCGTTCATTCGTAGCCATATGTTTTATATGGACGATAGTCTTTTATTTTGATCAAACTAAAAAATATCAAATTTTAATATTATAAATCTTCATAGAATAACAAAATAAGAAAAAACAACTACTTCAATCTTATTGAATTCAACGTCAAAAAGAATTTGATCACTACACTACATCAATATTTTATCAACTACTTTCATCATCAAGCATTTACATATAGAAATCAACGAGTCAATTGAATAGTCTATGTCTCTTAATGCATTTGATAGGTTTTTTGTCTAACGGAAGTTTTTATTCTACCAATTTAAGAAAAAACAATTAAAAAATCTCAACTATATAAAAGAAAACAGAATTGTTCTCAATTCCATTGACACGGAAAGGTGTTTTGTTTGTAGCTACGTTTTTTTCTTTCTTTTTTTATTTTTGTTTTTTTTTTATAGTCAATACCCCATCAACTAACGCCATCTAGTCAAATCGAAAAAAAAAGCAAATAATATTTCAAATTTTGACATTTCGAAAACTTTTAAAATTCTTTTATTCTTTTTTTATTTTCATTTTTATATAAATAAAGATAAATTTGAATCAACAAAAAAAAACTAAATGAAAACAAACGTCATTATTATATATTATCTTTCAATCAAAGTTATTTCTTTCAATTTGACCTTGTTTAGTGTCTTAGGATTTGTTGTTTTTTATGATTATTATTTCAAATGGATCAAGAAAGTGCAATGATGATTTTTTTATCTTATCAAAAATTACGAATGCCAACATTTAGTAAGTTTAGTTAAATATTTAAAATGGATCACAAAAAAAAAAAAGAAAAAATTTATCTTATTAATCTAATCAAATAGGTGTTCGACAACGACGAACAGAAAATCCTTTACGTGAACGTTTACTTGTTAGAAAATTTATTGTACAATTAGAAAACTAGTAAATTAAATATCTTCCCAAAAAAATAAAATTAATTATTTAAATTTTTAAATAGTTATTTTCAACAACAACAACAATTTTCAATGACAGCAACAGATAATGAACAAATGGAAGTTGATCATGTAAATAGATTCTCTGTGTGACAAAATTTAAAAATAAAAAATTGTTTTTTTTTTTTTGTTTTTATTTTAAGGAAATTGAAGATGAAGATGATTAAATCTTTTCAATGCAGTATTTTTTTTTGTTGGTTTGTTAAGCAACAAATATCTGTGCTGTTCTTTTAGTTATCTCTACAAAATAATAATGTCAGATTAATTATTATTACTATTTTTTTTTGTCTATTCTTCCTCTTATCTATTCAAATGTCAGACTTGTCATAATCATTGTCTTGTTTTGTTTTTTTTTTTTTTTTTTGATGTAACGAAATAAATTTATTCACTAGTTAATTTTGAAATGAAGAATATGAATTATTATTACATTTTCTTTCATCATGCCGCAGAAAAAACAATGTCAAGTAGATGATGAAGAAAAAAAAAAAGAAAGATTACTCTGCTTGAAATTTTTTTTTCTTAGTTGATTTTGTTATGACAACAGTAAATTGTGGTTTCATTTTAATTCATAACGACAAAAGAAATATTGTTTTGGTTCAGAATTTAATCATCAACGATCTGATTACAAAGATTTTTTTTCTTCTTTTCATAAGAGATTGCTACTAGTTTTAACTTATCTAATGGCATTTACAATTTCATCACCTACACGTCGTGTTCATTATCAATCTCAAATATATAATAATCCACCATCATTAAGTCACAGTTTGTCCATAGGTGAATCAACAAATTTAAATGAATCTTTTTCTTCATCATTTATATCTTCCATTCCATTAATAACAATTATCTATTCAAATTCATCATTATCAAAAGGTATATTATCATAAAAGTAGAAATTAAAAAAAAATAAAACCTAGAAAAGGATGTGTGTGTGTTTATGTCTTGAAGCAGTAAATCCATTTACTGTTCGAAGAAGTAAGTATGACATTGAAGCACATATACCTTAAAGGCATGTAAAAGAAAGAAAATGGTTTGCAAACAGTACAAAAAAGAAAAAAAAGACGAACAAGTTCCTATAGTATATAAGAAGAATAGAATAGAAATCTTATTTTTTTATGGATCAAGAAAAAAAAATGACAGGCAAATGAATTAAACATGGAAACAGCTAGACAAAATACATCCATAAGTTCCATTTCAGCAGTAAAAACAATAGATAATAAAAAACAATTTATCTCAGGAACTTGTACATTTATTCGACTTATTTATGGTGGTAATAGAATTATTATTGATTTATTTTTTGAAATTTTATTTAATTGATTTTATTTCTTGTGTATGTAGAGAATCAACAACTACTTCTAAATAGTTATGCTTCTTGTCATCGTTTATTAGATCATATAAAACCAATCATTGGTATTCAACATGATGGTAAAAGAATATTTAATACTTCTTTTTTGCCAATTATTATAAAAAAAAACCCCATGATTTGTATCTTTTTAAGAAATAATTGATCTTATGGATAATGAAGGAAAATTAAAAGAATTACATACACATGGTGATGAATATGCTTCACAGTATCTTACTGGAAGAAATACATATTATGTACTTAAAGTTGAAAGTAAAAATGAAATTTTCGTTTTTTTTTTTTTTATATAAAATCAAATATTTAGATGATACAGCAGTAGGTGAAAAACGTTATATACCAAATTTTAATCTCGATCAAATCGATCAAAAAATATATTCAATATTAACAAGTAAAATTGAATTAATCGACAAGAAAAAAAAAACTTTCATTTAACGAACTATTTATGTTTAGCTTCATTAAATTCATTAAATAAATCAGCAAATAAAACAAAACGTCCAACGGGAGCATCAAAACAAAATACACCAACTCAAATAACATCGAATACAACACAATCAAAAACAAAACGAACATCAAATCGAAAATAAAAGATTTCTCTTCTTCCTATTACAATGTATCATTCGATTTGTATTTTATTTTTCGTTGTTTTGTTCCTATTTCTATAGTTTATGTTTGCTTGTTTTTTTGAATGAATTATTTGACTGTAATGGATTAAACAACAAATGATTACAAATCAGATGGATCACAGTTTTGAAAGTGTTTGATTCGATACTAATCGAATTGGATACCTGTCCCCGACTAGAGTTACACATTCAATGTGCTTATACTAATCTTCAATGATTCTTGTTTTTCTTACTATTAAATGTCAATTATGTTAGACATATACAGGATCTAGTTTCTAAG